TGGAGGGGACAGGGCCACCATGGAGGGGACAGGGCCACCATGGGGACCATGGCCACCAAGAGCAGGACACATCCAGCTCAGAAGGGTGGGGACACCAAGGGACATCAAGGGGCTGACATGGCATTGAGGCGGTGACACAACCACCATGACTGTGACCACCACGAGCAGGACACGGCCAGCTGGGAGGGGACATTGCTGTGACCGTGCGGGGGTGGCCGTGGTGGCCGTGGTGGCCGCGGCGGCCCCGGTGACGCGGCGGGTGCCCGCAGTGTGCGCGGGGACGCTGAATGGGCTGAGCGTGACGGGGGACGCGCAGCACCAGTACCAGACCCTGCACAAGATGTACAACAACTGCGAGATCGTCATGGGCAACCTGGAGATCGTCCTCATCGACCACACCCAGGACCTCTCCTTCCTCCAGGTGACCCCGGGGACACGCGGGGGTGGACACCGAGGGGGGACGTGGCCAGCTCCGAGGGGACGGGGACATCAAAGGGGACATTGCTGCTGTCACCCAGGGGAGGACACGGCCAGTTTGGAGGTCACGTGTCCACCATGGGGGCAGTGGCCATCAAAAGGAGGACATGGCCAGTTTGGAGGTTCAGAGCCACCATGGGGACAGTGGCCATCAAGGGCCAGTTTGGAGGTGACACAGCCACCATGGGGACCACAGGCATCAAGGGGGACAGTGGCCATCAAAAGGAGGACATGGCCAGTTTGGTGACACAGCCACCATGGGGAACATGGCCATCAATGGGAGGACATGGCCAGTTTGGTGACACAGCCACCATGGGGAACATGGCCATCAAGGGGAGGACGTGGCCAATTTGGTGGTCAATTGTCCATGTGGCCATCAAGGAGGACAATGGCCATCAAAAGGAGGACATGGCCAGTTTGGTGACACAGCCACCATGGGGAACATGGCCATCAAGGGGAGGACACGGCCAGTTTGGAGGTCACGTGGCCACCATGTGGCCATCAAGGGGGACAGTGGCCATCAAAAGGAGGACATGGCCAGTTTGGTGACCCAGCCACCACGGGGACAGTGGCCATGAAGGGCAGGACGTGGCCAGTTTGGTGGTCAATTGTCCATGTGGCCATCAACGGGGACAGTGGCCATGAAGGGCAGGACGTGGCCAGTTTGGTGGTCAATTGTCCATGTGGCCATCAACGGGGACAGTGGCCATGAAGGGCAGGACGTGGCCAGTTCGGAGGTTCAGAGCCAGCACGGGGAGCGCGGCCAAGGCCAGCAGGTGACCCCGAGCCCCCCGCAGACCATCCGGGAGGTGACCGGCTACATCCTGATCGCCATGAACGTGTTCGCGGCGCTGCCGCTGCAGAACCTGCGCGTGATCCGCGGCACGCAGTTCTACGAGGATCGCTTCGCGCTCTTCGTGCTGCTCAACTACAACCCCAACACCACGCACGCCCTGCGCCAGCTCGGCCTCAACCAGCTCACCGGTGGGACACCGCGGGGACACCGCGGGGACACCGCGGGCTGGGGACACTGTGGGGTTGGGGACACTGTGGGGGGTTGGGGACACTGTGGGGAGATGGGGACATCGTGGGGGCTGGGGACACCATGGTGTGTTGGGGACATCAAGGAGGGTTGGGGACATTGTGAGGTTGAGGACACCGTGGAGTTGGGGACATCGTGGGGAGATGGGGACACCGTGGGGGTTGGGGACACTGTGGGGAGATGGGGACACCGTGGGGGTTGGGGACACTGTGGGGAGATGGGGACACCGTGGGGGTTGGGGACACTGTGGGGAGATGGGGACACCGTGGGGGTTGGGGACACTGTGGGGAGATGGGGACACCGTGGGGGTTGGGGACACTGTGGGGAGATGGGGACACCGTGGGGGTTGGGGACACTGTGGGGAGATGGGGACACCGTGGGGGTTGGGGACACTGTGGGGAGATGGGGACACCGTGGGGGTTGGGGACACTGTGGGGAGATGGGGACACCGTGGGGGTTGGGGACACTGTGGGGAGATGGGGACACCGTGGGGGTTGGGGACACTGTGGGGAGATGGGGACACCGTGGGGGTTGGGGACACTGTGGGGAGATGGGGACACCGTGGGGGTTGGGGACACTGTGGGGAGATGGGGACACCGTGGGGGTTGGGGACACTGTGGGGAGATGGGGACACCGTGGGGGTTGGGGACACTGTGGGGAGATGGGGACACCGTGGGGGTTGGGGACACTGTGGGGAGATGGGGACACCGTGGGGGTTGGGGACACTGTGGGGAGATGGGGACACCGTGGGGGTTGGGGACACTGTGGGGAGATGGGGACACCGTGGGGGTTGGGGACACTGTGGGGAGATGGGGACACCGTGGGGGTTGGGGACACTGTGGGGAGATGGGGACACCGTGGGGGTTGGGGACACTGTGGGGAGATGGGGACACCGTGGGGGTTGGGGACACTGTGGGGAGATGGGGACACCGTGGGGGTTGGGGACACTGTGGGGAGATGGGGACACCGTGGGGGTTGGGGACACTGTGGGGAGATGGGGACACCGTGGGGGTTGGGGACACTGTGGGGAGATGGGGACACCGTGGGGGTTGGGGACACTGTGGGGAGATGGGGACACCGTGGGGGTTGGGGACACTGTGGGGAGATGGGGACACCGTGGGGGTTGGGGACACTGTGGGGAGATGGGGACACCGTGGGGGTTGGGGACACTGTGGGGAGATGGGGACACCGTGGGGGTTGGGGACACTGTGGGGAGATGGGGACACCGTGGGGGTTGGGGACACTGTGGGGAGATGGGGACACCGTGGGGGTTGGGGACACTGTGGGGAGATGGGGACACCGTGGGGGTTGGGGACACTGTGGGGAGATGGGGACACCGTGGGGGTTGGGGACACTGTGGGGAGATGGGGACACCGTGGGGGTTGGGGACACTGTGGGGAGATGGGGACACCGTGGGGGTTGGGGACACTGTGGGGAGATGGGGACACCGTGGGGGTTGGGGACACTGTGGGGAGATGGGGACACCGTGGGGGTTGGGGACACTGTGGGGAGATGGGGACACCGTGGGGGTTGGGGACACTGTGGGGAGATGGGGACATCGTGGGGGCTGGGGACACCATGGTGTGTTGGGGACATCATGGAGGGTTGGGGACATTGTGAGGTTGAGGACACCGTGGAGTTGGGGACATCGTGGGGAGATGGGGACACCACGAGGGCTGGGGACATTGCAGGGGGTTGGGGACACCACATAGGGCTGGGGACATTGTGGGGGACTGGGAACATCGTGGAGGGTTGGGGACACTGCGGGGGGCTGGGGACAGCCACGGGACTGGCACAGAGAGGGGACACTGGGGTTGGGAACGCTGCCACCGCTCTGTGCCCTGCGAGGTCCCCATCCCATGGCAGTGCCACCCCGTGTCCCCCTGCACTGTCCCTTGGTCCCCAAGGTCCCCATCCCCTCCCAGCACTTCCAGACAGGTCTGGGGGGGGGGTCTGTCCCTCCTTGTCACCCCCTGTCCCCCGTGTCCCCGCAGAGATCCTGGCGGGGGGCGTGTACATCGAGAAGAACGCGCAGCTGTGCCACGTGGACACCGTGGAGTGGAGGGACATCATGAGGGACACGCGCCTGGAGCCGCTCGTGAGGGACAACGGCCGGGGCTGTGCGTGCCGGGGCCACCCCTGGGGACACCCCTGGGGCCGGGGTCACTTTGGGGTCACCCCTGGGGCCGGGCTCACTTTGGGTGGGGTCACTTTGGGGTCACCCCTGGGGCCGGGGTCACTTTGGGGTCACCCCTGGGGCTGGGGTCACTTTGGGGACACCCCTGGGTTTGGGGTCACTTTGGGGTGGCTTTGGGGTCACCCCTGAGTTTAGGGTCACTTTGGGGGTGACCCCTGGGTTTGGAGTGACCCATTTTTGGGGTCCCTTTGGGGTCACCCCTGTTTTTGGGTTCCCTTTGGGGTCACCCCTGGCTTTGGGGTCCCCCTGTTTTGGGGTCCCTTTGGGGTCCCTTTGGGGTCACCCCTGGTGTTGCTGTCCCCCTGTTTTGGGGTCCCTTTGAGGTTCCTTTTGGCTCACCCTGTTTTTTGAGGTCCCTTTGGGGTCCCTTTGGGGTCACCCCTGGCTTTGGGGTCCCCCTGTTTTGGGGTCCCTTTGGGGTCCCTTTTGGGGTCACCTCTGGCGTTGCTGTCCCCCTGTTTTGGGGTCCTTTGGGGTCCCTTTGGTGTCACCCCTGGCTTTGGGGTCCCCCTGTTTTGGGGTCCCTTTGGGGTCACCCCTGGCTTTGGGGTCCCCCTGTTTTGGGGTCCCTTTGGGGTCCCTTTGGGGTCACCCCTGGCTTTGGGGTCCCCCTGTTTTGGGGTCCCTTTGGGGTCACCCCGGTGTTGCTGTCCCCCTGTTTTGGGGTCCCCGTGTTGTGACCCCTCCGCGCTGTCCCCAGGTGCCCCGTGCCACGAGAGCTGCGGCGGCCACTGCTGGGGGCCGGGCCCTGAGGACTGCCAGAAACGTGGGTACCGGGGGTACCGGGGGTACCGGGAGGGTCCCAGCCCCCCCTCACCTCATCATCGTCGTCCAGCCGCACCCGCTTCAGCGCCACGTGTCCGTCCGTCCGACTGTCCATCTGTCTGTCTGTCTGTCCACCTGTCCGTCCGTCCGTCTGTCCGTCTGTCTGTCCGTCTGTCTGCCTGTCTGTCCATCCAGCCACCCTGTGCATGCACTGCTTCGTACGTCCCTCCATCCGTCTGTCCGTCCGTCCGTCCATCTGTCTGTCCGTCCATCCGTCTGTCTGTCCGCCTGTCTCTGTCCATCTATCTGTCCGTCCGTCCGTCTGTCCATCTGTCTGTCTGTCCGCCTGTCTATCCGTCCATTCGCCCGTCCGTCCGTCCACCTGTCCGCCTGTCTGTCTGTCCATCCATCCACTCCTGCGCAGGCACTGCTTTGTACGTCCCTCTGTGTGTCCGTCCGTCCGTCCCTCTGTCCATCCGTCCCCCCCTGCGCACACACTGCTTCGTACGTCCCTCCGTCTGTCCGTCCATCCGCCCGTCCGTCCGTCTGTCTGTCCGTCCGTCCGTCTGTCTGTCCACCTGTCTGTCCGCCTGTCTGTCTGTCCGCCTGTCTGTCTGTCCATCCATCCCTCCTGCGCACGCACTGCTTCGTCCGTCTGTCCGTCTGTCCATCCGTCTGTCCCCCCCTGCGCACGCACTGCTTCGTACGTCCCTCTGTCCGTCTGTCCGTCTGTCTGTCCACCTGTCTGTCTGTCCACCTGTCTGTCTGCCCATCTGTCTGTCTGTCCACCCCTGCACACCCACTGCTTTGTACATCCATCCATATGTCCATCTGTCTGTCCGTCCGTCTGTCTGTCTGTCCATCCAGCCCCCCCTGCGCACACACTGCTCCGTGCATCTGTCTGTCCAGCCGTCTGTGTATCCACCCACCCCTGTGTCCGTCCATCCATCCATCCATCCATCCATCCATCCATCCATCCATCCCCATGTCCATCCCCGTGTCCATCTGTCCATCCCCACGTCCATCCCTGTGTCCATGGCTGTGTCCATCCCCTGTCCCCGTGTCCATCTGTCGGTCCCCGTGTCCATCTGTCCATCCCTATGTCCATGGCTGTGTCCATCCTGTGTCCATCTGTCCATCCCCTGTCCCCGTGTCCGTCTGTCGGTCCCCGTGCCCATCTGTCGGTCTGTCCGTCCCCAGGCCTGCCGGCACTTCAACGACAGCGGCGCGTGCGTGCCGCTGTGCCTATCCCCGTGTCCATCTGTCCATCCCCACGTCCATCCCTGTGTCCATGGCTGTGTCCATCTGTCCATCCCCGTGCCCATCTGTCGGTCTGTCCGTCCCCAGGCCTGCCGGCACTTCAACGACAGCGGCGCGTGCGTGCCGCTGTGCCTATCCCCGTGTCCATCTGTCCATCCCCACGTCCATCCCTGTGTCCATGTCTGTCCAGCCGTCCGTGTATCCACCCACCCCGTGTCCATCCGTCCATCCATCCATCCATCCATCCATCCATCCATCCATCCATCCAGCCATCCATCCATCCCTGTGTCCATCCCTGCGTCCATCCCTGCGTCCATCTGTCCGTCTGTCCGTCCCCAGGCCTGCCGGCACTTCAACGACAGCGGCGCGTGTGTGCCGCTGTGTCCATCCCCATGTCCATCCCCGTGTCCATCTGTCCATCCCTGTGTCCATGGCTGTGTCCATGGCTGTGTCCATCCCCTGTCCCCGTGTCCGCCTGTCGGTCCCCGTGCCCATCTGTCCGTCTGTCCGTCCCCAGGCCTGCCGGCACTTCAACGACAGCGGCGCGTGCGTGCCGCTGTGCCCGCAGCCCCTGATCTACAACAAGCTGACCTTCCAGCTGGAGCCCAACCCCGACACCAAGTACCAGTACGGGGGGGTCTGCGTGCGGGAGTGCCCCCGTGAGTCGGGCTCTGGGGGGCTCCGGGGGGGTGACCCGGGCTCGGGGGGGACACCGGGTGACCCCCGGGCCGTCCCCCAGACAACTTCGTGGTGGACCAGAGCTCGTGCGTGCGCGCCTGCCCCAACGACAAGATGGAGGTGGAGAAGAACGGGCTGAAGATCTGCGAGCCCTGCGCGGGGCTGTGCCCCAAGGGTAGGGGCTGGGGGTCCCCGGGGAGGGGGTCTGGGGGCTGTGGGACCCCCCTGACCCCCTGCCCGCACCCCACAGCCTGCGAGGGCACCGGCGCCGGCAGCAAATACCAGACCGTGGACTCCAGCAACATCGACACCTTCATCAACTGCACCAAGATCCTGGGCAACCTCGACTTCCTCATCACGGGCCTCGAGGGGTGAGGGGTGGCATTTGGGGGGGGGCTCGGGGAGGGGGCTTTTGGGGGGGCAGCCCCCCGCCCCAGCCCCGCTGACCGCTCCTCCGGCCCCGCAGGGACCCCTGGCGCAACATCTCGGCGCTGGACCCGGAGAAGCTGAACGTGTTCCGGACGGTGCGGGAGATCACGGGTGAGGAGGGGGGCTGGGGGTGCTGGGACCCCCCTGGAGCGCCCCCCCCGAGACCCCCGGGACCCCCCTGAGCCCGCGGTGTGCCCGCAGGGTACCTGAACATCCAGTCCTGGCCCAAGCACATGCACAACTTCAGCGTCTTCTCCAACCTGGAGACCATCGGGGGAAGGAGCCTGTACAAGTGAGGAGCCCCTGCCGCGTGTCCCGCGCTCCTCCCCGGCATCCCGGGCCCTGAATTCCCTGTTTTCCTTAATTCCTGCATCCCCGGCATCCCCGATCCCTGGATACCCTGTTTTCCCTAATTCCTGCATCCCCGACCCCCGAATTCCCCGTTTTCCCTAATTCCTGCATTCCCGACCCCCGAATTCCCCGTTTTCCCTAATTCCTGCATCCCCGGCCCCCGAATTCCCCGTTTTCCTTAATTCCTGCATTCCCCGACCCCCGAATTCCCTGTTTTCCCTAATTCCTGCATCCCCGGGCCCCGAATTCCCCGTTTTCCCTAATTCCTGCATTCCCTGGCATCCCCGACCCCTGAATTCCCCGTTTTCACTAATTCCGGCATCCTCGATCCCTGAATTCCCCGTTTTCCGACCCCTGGATTCCCTGTTTTCCTTAATTCCTGCATCCCCGGCCCCCGAATTCCCCGTTTTCCCTAATTCCTGCATTCCCCGGCATCCCCGACCCCTGGATTCCCTGTTTTCCTTAATTCCTGCATCCCCGGCCCCCGAATTCCCCGTTTTCCCTAATTCCTGCATTCCCCGGCATCCCCAGCCCCTGAATTCCCCGTTTTCCCTAATTCCTGAATTCCCCGGCATCCTCGATCCCTGAATTCCCCTTTTCCCCAATCCCTGAATTCCCCGTTTTCCCCAATCCCTGAATTCCCCGTTTTCCCCGATCCCTGAATTCCCCGTTTTCCCTTATCCCCGCATCCCCTCGTCCCTGGATCCCTGCTCATCCCGACGCCCCCAGTCCCGCTGTCCTTGTCCGTCCGTCCGTCCGTCCCTCTCTCCCGGCCGCTCCCGGGGTCTCTCCCCCGGCTCCGGGGGCATCCCCTCAATCCCAGAACATTTCCCGGCTCCCGGCGCATCCTCCCCGCTCCTGGAGTATCCGGGAGCGTCCGCTCCTTCCCGGGGCATCCCCCGTGCTCCCGGTTCATCCCCTTCCTCCCGGTTCATCCTCCCGGCTCATCCCCTTCCTCCCGGTTCATCCTCCCGGTTCATCCCCTTCCTCCCGGTTCATCCTCCCGGAGCATTCCCCCTCGCTCGCGGTTCCTCCTCCCGGTTCATCCTCCCGGTTCATCCCCTTCCTCCCGGTTCATCCTCCCGGTTCATCCTCCCGGTTCATCCCCCTCCTCCCGGAGCAGCTCCCAGAGCATTCCTTAATTCCGGGAGCGTTCCCTGGCTCTCGGAGGATTTCCCGGCTCCCGGAGCAGCTCCCGGAGCATCCCCTCACCCCCGGAGCAGCTCCCGGTTCCAGGAACAGCTCCCGGCTCCCGGAGCATTCCCCGGCTCCCGGAGCATCCCCTCACTCCTGGAGAAATCCCGGGCTCCCGGAGGAATCCCCTCACTCCGGGAGGAATCCCGGGTTCCAGGAGCAGCTCCCGGCTCCCGGAGCATCCCCTCACTCCCGGAGGAAGCTCCCGGTTCCAGGAACAGCTCCCGGCTCCCGGAGCATTCCCCGGCTCCCGGAGCATCCCCTCACTCCTGGAGAAATCCCGGGCTCCCGGAGGAATCCCCTCACTCCCGGAGGAATCCCGGGCTCCCGGAGGAATCCCCTCACTCCGGGAGGAATCCCGGGCTCCCGGAGCAGCTCACGGAGCATCCCCTCACTCCCGGAGGAATCCCGGGCTCCCGGAGCAGCTCACGGAGCATCCCCTCACTCCCGGAGGAATCCCGGGCTCCCGGAGGAATCCCCTCACTCCCGGAGGGCCCCCGGAGCACCCCCCGGAGCCCCCCCAGCCCCCCGACGTCCCCCGTGCCGCCCCGCAGCCGCGGTTTCTCGCTGCTGATCATGAAGAACGAGAACGTGACCTCGCTGGGGCTGCGCTCGCTGCGGGAGGTGAGCGCGGGCCGCGTGTACATCACCGAGAACCGGCGGCTCTGCTTCCTGCACACCGTGCACTGGGCCGCGCTCAGCCGCAGCCGCGCCGACCTCGACATCCGCAACAACCGGCCCCGCAGCAAGTGCCGTGCGTGGGACGGGCTGGGGAGGGGGCGTGGGACCCCCCCCGGGCACCCCCAGACCCCTCCAGGGGCCCCCGGTCCGTCCCATAAGGGAGGGGTCACCAGAACCCCCAGATCCCGCACTGAACCCCAATCCCTTACACAGGGAGGGGATGTGGGACCCCCCCCCGGGCACCACCAGACCCCTCCAGGGGGCCCCTGCCCATCCCTTCCATAGGGGAAGGGTCACCAGAACCCCCGATCCCGCACTGAATCCCCATTCCTTACACAAGGAAGGGGCGTGGGACCCCCCTGTGGGATCCCCCCGGGCACCCCCAGTCCCCTCCAGGGGCCCCCGGTCTGTACTATAGGGGAGGGGTCACCGGGACCCC